TTTATAGCAATGCTTATCAGTTTTAACAAATTATTCCAACAAATTATTTTGATGATTTAATCAAAAATTATTTTCAGATCTGTTTTTAGCAAAATTTTTAGATCTTTCAACAAAATCGTTCTTTCTGTGTATATATGTGTCTTCGTCCTATAGATTTAAATCATTTCTTCTTTGGCTTCGTCTTTCTTTCTCACTTCATTTAGAACAAAATTGACAAGTTCTTCTTTTTCAACAAATAATGAAGGAAAAAGAACCAACGATAAAGAGTCTACGGCCAAGGCTAGACGTCGGTTGCCCAATGATATTTTTAACTTTTTTTTTAATTTCACACGGAAAGAACAATATTGCTGAATCCAGATCTGAAAATAATTTTTGTTCAATAATCAAAATAATTTTGTGCGAAAGTCAAAATGATTGCTAGAATATCAAAACGTTTTATAGCAATGCTTATCAGTTTTAACATTCCAACAAATTATTTTGATAATTCAACAAAAAATTATTTTCAAATCTGTATTTAGCAAAATTTTTAGACCTTTCAACAAAATCCTTTTTTCCGTGCAGCTATCGGAAACTGCGTGTCAATTACCGTCGGTCTTTAGGAACCTTCATTATGTCCTCTTTCTCTTGTCGTGTATTCTACTATTATATACGTTTCAATTCAAGTTATTAAAGCAGCTTCGGATTTTCGTCAATTATCGCGAAAATCTCAGTATATGTGCCCACGGGGGATATGCCGTCAGAGGGCTTTTAATATACGCGCCTCTTTCTCCCCCTTTCCTTCTGACTCTTCCTTTTGTCTTACGTGTATAGGTGTTTGAACGTACGCGCAGCACACATACGCGTCGTACACACACACACACACACACACACACACACACACACACACACACACACACACACACACATACACACACATGTCTCTCTCTACATATAATTCTGAAAATGTTACCCTGTTTCTTTTCATCCATCGCCGATGTGCTTCGCACTGCTTCGCTCTGTAGCCATCTCCGGGCGACGTGGGAGATAAGGGAAGGGGGGAAGGTCTGTTGCATCCTTGCCACGCTGCCTTGCCGCCAGGTCCCTGACCGCCGCACTGAAATACATAACTCTCAGAGATGTCGTTATGTGCAGTTGTCGAGGCCAGTGTGTGTGTATGTGTGTGTGTGTGTATGTGTGTAAATCGCATGATCTTCCATTAATATAAGTACTCGACGTATCGAGTCACGTTTTTTTAATTGATCATTTTTTATTTATTGCATCTCGCTACTGTACTACTTTGGATTCTACAATAAAATACCGTGAGAACATTCATGGTGTTTTAGATAAAAATAAACGTGTAAAATCCTTCATTCTGTCCGTAGCTCCTTCGACGTGTGCCTTACGATGAATGAACGGGGATATTAAATTATCTCGGTAAGAGGTGATGTAGCAGAGGGATCTACTTGATGTGTGATCTACTTGAAGAGCGACTGATACGTTCGTTACGTTTGCTTCATGATTGCCCGATCAATTTCGCCGTAATCAACCCGAAGGAATGATCGATGAGGTATGCGCGCGTATGCGATCTCGTGGAAGGCGCTTTCACGTGTTGGCCTTTATTCATAACGAGTTCGGTGTTTAAGTGTCTGTACTTAGAAGAAACTTGGCGCGACGTCGCGATCCTAATTTATGACGTTCACGCGAGGGGATCGAAATTTCGGCGGCCGTGAACTCTTGATACTTACCCCGTACACGTAAGATCGTGGGGGATACCGTGGTAGCGGCGGAATGAGTCTGGTGGCGAAATTGGAAGGTAATTCTCTAAAGTTCACCACCTTACCCCCCCGTAATCGCTGTCTATCTCGTCTATCTCGTCTAATTAATAGAGCAGCCTGCATCCCGCTTATTCATTTGTAAACTATCGATTTGAGATCTCAGCCCCCTGATTGCCCAGTTTTTCTCTTTCTCTCTCTCTCTTTTTTACTCTCTTATCCTTTCCTTTCCCCCGAAATGATGCGAAGAGACCAGTCCACCTCAAAGCTCCATCAGCGATCGATACCGATCTAACGTTGTGCTACCCGCCATCGGCATCGATCGCTGCTCGTTCTCGTCGACGATAATCGTGGGATGCATGTTTCACGCTATACTGAAATTACATTACGAGCCTTTTAGCCGATTTAGGGGGGGGGGGAGAGAGGGGAGATATTTGGGCATGGAGAATCTGTCGCCTCTCTTACGCTGCTCGCCGGGTTTATCGCATGTTATACGCCACCAGACAGCCGATCGATGCTATTTGCTATATAACGTTGCACGAGGTGCCGGCAAAAGAGATGTGGTGCAATCAGAGGGAGCATATACGCTTTGAGTGAGGGTGAGTCGCGCTAAAGCGATAGAGAAGTGAGCTGGTAATTCTTGTTAATCTAATTCGTCAATGATTGCACTTGGCAGAGACGACGGTCGTATAACGTGATCGAATTCTCATAATTGCAATGTATATACAGACATTAAATTGAAGTTGAAAAGTAATACAAACGTTCTCTTTTTCGAAATTTATGCAATAAAGAAACGCTCTTTTATTATCTTGACTTTGAGACGTGCTAAAAAAAATAGGACAAAAATAATACAAACAGATGTTGTACACTAAAAAAAAAAAATTATTGATTTAAAAAAATATTTCATTCAACGAAACACGGCGGTCACGGACTGTCAAGCAAACATTTGTTAATTCAACAAAATACTTGTTAATTCACAAAAATATCATGATGTATTTATTATTGATGTATATTTAATTCAAAATCATATAAAATTGAATTGAAAGAAAAACTGTCAACAAAACACATTTAGTTATTTTAACAACTTTTTTTCCTCAGTGTAACGATTTCTAAAAGATATATAACTTTTATTATTTGCGACAGCACCAGACAAACTGGGTACTCAACCGTTTTCTCTGCCTAATGCGCACATTGCAGCAGGCGTATTTATCTCGTTTTGCATGATTTCTGTGGCAAATTGTATGTAAATTGTATGTAAAGAGATGGAAGGTGTCGTGACGGTGACTTGGGCGAGATGTACAGAAAGAGAAGAGCGGCTAAGGAACAGCGTGAGCCCGGAAGAGGCTGGTTATGAGGAGAGAGAGAGAGAGAGAGAGAGAGAGAGAGTGCCCGATGATGTTACCCACCTGTAGCTCCGAAGTCGGAGGCGAGACTCGGAGATCGAGGATCGAGGGCGGCGGGAAGGGAAAGTTGCTGGACTTATTGGCCGGGAAGGCGTTGGCAGACGCCGAGGACTCGAGGGAGAGCGGGGGCGGTGAGATTGGAAACTGGATCGGCGAGACCGGGGCGACCTGCTGATGGGACTTGTGATGGTCGGCGTGATGACGGCGCCGATCGTCGATGACCGGGTGGAACGCGGCGGACGACGACGACGTCGACGTCGGCGCCTGTTGCGCTCGCGGACCCTGCGGTGCCGATGCGACTTGGTGCGGACGGGCGGCGAGCTTGGTCGGGTGGTGGTGGTGATGGTAGTGATGCTGATGACACTGATGATGCTGATGCTGATGCTGGTGTTGGTGCTGGTGCTGGTGCTGATGCTGGTGCTGGTGCTGGTGGTGCTGATAGTGACGCGGGCCGGGCGGTAAGCCGGTCTTCAGTCTTGACGGTATGACGTTCACCGGCGCCTGCTTGTTGAGCTGCAGCCGCTTCTGCTTCCTCCGATTGGCGATGCTCGCACCACCCGCCGCGGCGTACATCGCTCCGCGGATTGCCGGGTCGCTTCCTCGGTTGCCGACTCAAGGCGATTCCGTATACTCGGGGCAGCCCCCGTTCCCCGTTACGAGTTACGTCCCATAATCGGTCGATGATCGGTCCTTGCCATGGCGTATGTCTCTCGCACCTTCGTTTTATCCCGAGGGAAATATCACTTTCCCCTTTTCTTTTCCTTTCTCTCACCCCCTTTCCCTTGCCTCTCTGGAAAGGCAAGAAACGTGACGGAGCTCCGCCCGTCTTTCGGCGGCGTTCGTCGTTACGGTCTACGTCTCTAAATTACTACGTCGCAAGCACGATTAAAAGCGAGTTGGATCAAATTATCGTTTATCAGCGAACGCGTAACGCATTATTAGCTTGGCGACTTGTACCCACGTGGATACAAGTTATGTCACGTTCGTCTTCCGCATGCGTATTACTTAATTCCGAAAGGCGGAAAAATAATATTTATTCCTCTGATTCAACCGATTTCCAAAGCTCGAATCAAACAATACAAATCTATTCTTTTTTTAGTTATCGTTATTATAATATTGTGTCTTTTGTATTTAAAGTGAAGTATTTAAGTGTTAAGGTGGAGAAAAAGGAAGCAAAAAATTTTAGAAATCGAATCGTAAAATTCAAGCGCATTATATGTATATTGTAGTCAATTGCAATCATTCTTGCATGGTGCACAATTTTTTTAGTTTTGTATTTTCATCATTTAATTCAACCTTAAGATATAATTGAAAAATTAATAAGTGGCAAATGATCTTATTAAAATTCGTTTTTCTTGATTCAATTAAGATTATTAATTATATACTTATAATTATAATTATATGCAATAGTATAAACTATATGCAACACTTATTGCTTTACATAAAGTGTTATATCGAGTACGTCGGTTATGCGTTCGCTGAATATTCTTTATGTTTGAAAAGCAAATACACACTTATGTTTTATGTTTTAATTTACATAAAATTACCTATAATTCTAACATAACACAAGAAAATTTATATACAAAATTCTATATACATAATCAAGTATGTTCAGGAAAAATTTTTTTATGAAATTGGGAACATCTTTCCTAATTTCATAAAGTTTCACAATAATTTTACAATAAGAAAATAATATTGTATAAATTAATGATATATTTTAAATAAAATTTAAGCAAATATATATTTAATAGAATAATTATATAATATTTTCTTTATATTTAAATTTATTTTACATACAAAATTAATTTAAAATATTTAGAACTCAATTCTCATTAATAAATGGCAATCCTACGAAGCAATTTAATATAAAGCATATTAATGCTTTTACCTTATCAAAGTACAAATGATTTTTTATTCTAAATTTAACTTTGATAAGATATATTGTTTTATTCTTAATTTAGAATTTAGACAATACAAACTGTGATTGAGTAGTGTAATTAAATACGTCTGACTTACTTAGAAAAATTTAACGTACGAATATTAATTTATTACGTGTGTATGAAACACGTTTACAATATTCTTTAAACATAGCTAAAGAGTATGATAATTCATAATCGTTACCAGTTTTATTTCAATTAAATTTTATTTTAATTATATTATTAATTGTTTACAATGTATTCAAAAAAATATTGAAAGCAATTTCTATTTTATGCATATTTACACACATTCATATAAAAAATGCTTAATTACACGCAGCAAGCGCTTATTGCGGAGTAAAAGCAATGGGAAAAGAATTAGTGAAATTAATTGCAGGCCACGTACAAAACGCGCGAATTTTTTTACCGATTATTGCACTCTTTTTTTTCTCTGATTTTAACAACGTCTATTACTTTAACTGATTTTTTGTCTTTTTTTGTTTGTAATAATAATTCCTCTTTTTAAATAAAAAGAATCAGTTATATTATAGTTTAAATTAAATATTTTCTCAATCGATATTTAAACTCTATCACTAATTGTCTAAAAAGAAGCCATCAGTTGAATTTTTTAATTGTAATTTACCTAAGTCTTTGAAATTACTGAATCTAATAAAATCCGATTGTGTACTGATAATCCGAATTAATTAATTTTATATTAACAATTTTAAATGGAGATTTTAATAATCAATTTTTAAAAGTTTTAACAAGAGAGAGGAAGAGACGTAGCTAATACTGCTATAATAGTAGACTGTCGAGACAGTGCCATGCGATTAATTATTTCTCTCCTTCCACAAGCAGATGTAGCAAGTGGCAAATAATTAATTAACACACATTTCTCTCACTTTTTGTCTCCTTCTCTCTATTTCCCTTATTTATGCATTTCAGTGCTGCATAAATAATGTCGCAGTTACTGCAGTTAACTAATCTCGGTGAAATAAGGCCACGAATTATTCACATTGGAAAATCAGCTGCTTATACCCGAAGATTCGAAATCGTTCTCCAAGAAAGTCCAGGTGCGGTGGTTAAAAATACATGACGGGTCGTGAGTTGGATGACAAGCGTCAGTCGTTGCGGTGCCTAGCGAATAAGCGGCATGCATAGACGACGACGGATATGTGCGTGCATGAAGATAATATAGACAGGAGGGATATTCGTGACGGGTCCGCGAGCAATATCGCGGTACCAAGGTAGCCCACGGCGAATACGGCACGCAAGAGGCATGAAGAAGAAGAGAAGAGTGTTATCTACTCGTGATAGGAAAATTACAGGCTGGCTGGTGGCCCTCGGGCACGTCATGTAATTCTTTTTCTTGCATTTCTCTCACAACAGCAATGAGCATTTATTTCTTTTTTTTTTTTTGTAGGAGTGAATGTTGGAGGAGAGTCTAAGGGAGACAACGAATACGACGACGACAACAACGAGACAACGAAAAAAAGGCTACGTTCGAGTACAACTTTTTCTGTTTTTTTTTATTCGGTCGCTAGCGACCGCTGCAGCAACGAACGGCGGCAGCAACAGCAATAAGTATACGTAGCAAACAAAAAAGAAGAAACAGGCATCAAGCCAGCCAACAACATCAAAAAACGACTGCGCGTACCAACGATCTGAGAGAGGGAGAAAGAGAGAGAGGTGTTCGCCACTCTGTAAGTATGTGTGTTCAACCCCCTTTTCTCTCTTTCTCTTTTTCTCTCTCTCTCCCTCTGCCTTTCTGTCTCGTTTCCTCGAATCGTTCACAATAAACAGTGATACATCGACATTTTGTCACCCCGTTGCGCTCACGAGGGTTCCTTTCACGCGCTGCCCTTGGTCCGTTTGTGTCACTCTTTATCACGGACGATTTGATACACGAACGACGACGACGACGACGACGCGACGCGGTTCAACGAATGGCGCGTCTCACTCGATCGCCAGCAAGGCGCACGAAGCCTCCATCGCCCTCCTCGCGAATGTAGACGCACCCGTCACCCCCGAGCGTGCGTGCGACCACCCACGACCACCGACTGACGGACGAGCAGCCGCAGACAGCCGCACTGCACGCGCCTCTACCCTCTTCCTCCTTTTCTCTCTCCTCCATTTCTTTCTCTCCCTCTCTCTCTCTCTTTCTCTCTTTCTCTCTTTCCACTTCATCCCCTATCATCGGCAGCCGCGCGCGCAGTAGAAACCTCGCGCAGGGTTGAATCTAGGCGGGGGTGCGAACATAACAGCAGCTGACCTGTCACTTTCACCGCACTCACACGAAAGTGTCGCATTCGCAAAAAAAAGAAGAAAAGGAAACATACTCTGACCATGATTGCAAAAAGAAATTTAGTTAAGCTAGGATCAAAGATGATTATCGATAAGAAATAGAATAGAATTTATAATATATTATAAAAGAACTTTCGTATATTTATTTGGCGGATTCATGCGAGGGATATTATACTTTACGAAATATCGTCCGTACAAACTAGAAAGAGGATCAGATAATTCGTTGTGTTAGGGAAAAACGTTACGCCAGCCAGGTAATAAATCGTGCTTTGCGTTCGTACAGCAATTTATATATATGTGTTATTCTTATTTTGCAACCCTCGCGAATAAAAGGAAGGCGAGAGGGATGTTCTTCTCCTGAACGGGCGCGCGTGTGCGAAAAACGCCGAAGTCGAATTCTAGGGCAACCCCGCTTTGGAGGGCGCCTATTCGCCACCCCGGCTGTAACCCGGTTACCTCGCCTTCTCGATCTCACCCGAGTCGATATCCGTGCTAGCCCGTTGCCTTTGACCTTTCACCTTTACCGCCCTAGCCTGATTTCGCGACGCAGGCAACGACCTGCCTTATTAGAGCTTAATTTATATGAAATATGACAATGTCCGAACTGTTATATAAGCAAATAAAAATGCTGTCTGCCATATATATATATATATATATATATATATATATATATATATATAATATAAAAATAATATTTGTGTTTGATAGATAAGCATTTTTGTTATCTGGAAATAATCTTTGCTTTTATGTGTATGTGTACATGTGGGGAATTAATATTTATTAAAGAAATAAATAATGCAAAAATTGAGAAAGGACATACACATAGCAATTTAATTTTTTTTTAAAGTAATTTTTATATTATTTACATAATTATTTTTGTAAAGCAAATATTTGTTACATTTGTCAATTATCTATGATTTATACCTAACATAAATAAGTTCTATATTACGTAAATTCTATATCACATGCATATACATGTGTAAAATATTTGTTTTATAAAAATTATTCTTATGCATGCAGAAATTATGTTTTATTATATATATGTACCCGGATAGCACACATCAGAGCTCAAAAGAATTCATAATTAGTATATTCAGTTTTATGTCATCAATTCTGAGTTCATTTTCAGGTCCAAAAAGAATCCCTTTTAGAAAAAGAATTCTCTTTGCAACTGAAAATTAACTCAGAATTGGTGACATATAACTGAGTTCTTTTTTCACTCTCTGTACTATCTGGGTATATAATTAATTTTATTTATATATTATAATTTACACATAACTGAATATTACATATATATATATGATAAATATATATTTTTTAATTGTTTTTTTTCTTATATAAAACGTGTTAATTATCTTACAGATGTCAATTCTTAAATAAAATCAATAATGTTTTAATTATAATTATAAGTATTGAAACATAACGCGTATCTTTGCATTATATTCTGATCTGTGAATATAGTCAAAGATCTGATATATTCCAACATATCAAATTTTATATTGATGTCTATAGTGTAATGATTTTAAGAGGAACGCCACGATTCATTTAGTCGTGGGGACTTTTGACTGAAAGCAGGAGGAACGTGACTGTGACCAGTCTGACCACATCACGTGAGCAGGCACGTAGTAGAAAACGCGGTAGCACAGCAGTTTGCATCGCGTTCAAGCCAAACATGGATTTATAACTTGAGGACACTGTCGGGCAATTTGTAAATAATTATTGCTGTCGATATATAGCAACTAACGACTTTGGATCATGAATTTTATCGCGTAAGAAGATAACGGACGTTATTTCGATCTGCGATGCGATAATAAGTAAACCGCGGTTATTTTTACGCTGTGTAATAAAACGGAGCCATGAATTCGGCGAAGAGTAACGGCGAGACCGGTCACGGGCTGGAGGACCTTGATATACCGGGACAGGTGTATTTGAGAGACGCTTTAACAAGTTGTACAGACCCACTGAAAGCCATCGAGACATTTCAGGTAAAGAAGGGGAGCGGCGACCGAAGGGACGCGGCGACAGTCGCTCGCCGTGTACGGCATTATAGGTTAGATTTATCCCGACACACAAGCATCTCACACACGGCAATGATACGTTCCGTTTCAGCTGGAAAATGGCATATTGCTGCCGTCGTTGCGGCCCATGCTGCCCCTCCTCGATCTGCACGGCGTTCGCAGGCTGGACTTCCACGCCTCCGTTCTCGAGGAGCTGCGGGAGAAGCTGATCAAGCAGATCGACGAGATCGGCGTGGAGAGGGCGGACAAAGGTGCCGCCGGGGACAAGAGACTGAAGGAATTGCTGTCGAAGAGCTTCCCCGCCGTCCGGGTCGCCGCCCTGCGGCCCGTCGTCATGTGCATCCTGAGAAACACTCCGCACATCGAGGACAAGTACCTGAAGGTGCTGGTCAGGGAGAGAGAGCTGTACAACGACGCCGATACGGAGGTGAAGCGGCAGATATGGAAGGACAATCAGAGCCTCTTCGGCGACGAGGTCTCCCCGCTGTTCAGCCGTTACATCATCGAGAAGGAGCAGATTCTCTTTGATCATCGCAACTTGAACAGCCTGTTTTTCACTCCGTCTCCCAAGGTGGGCATGCCCTCGAATACCGAACGTGCGTTCGTATTTATAATCGCACGTTGTACAATTTTCTTGCTTTACACAGGTGAGACGGCAGGGAGAGGTCGTACAGAAGTTAGCCCACATGATCGGGCACAGCGTAAAATTGTATGACATGGTGCTGCAGTTTCTGAGGACTTTGTTTTTACGCACAAAGAATATTCACTATTGCACTCTAAGAGCAGAGCTGTTGATGGCGTTACATGACTTGGAGGTAAACATATTCAATTCATTCGAAAACAATTGTATTTGTTGGGCCTTCTCTTTTAATTGTGTTAAATCATATTTGTTTTTTTTTATGACATCACAGCTGAATCAAAACTTTCAAAATAATTTTATTATTATAACAATGGAAATCAGCGTGGTAAATAATACGCAGTTTAATATTACAACATAGAGATTACTCTCACATGTATTTCAGATGTTTCGGCAAATATCTGACAACTGAAATAGATGTGACAGTAAAACTCTTCGTTTTAATATTAAACTGCGTAATATTTACCACTGATTCCCATTACCTTTTTTCATTGTTATTTTAATTTCGGGAATTTTATATTACATATATTTCAGTTGATTTCAGCTGAAACTTCTGAAATACATGAGAGTAAAACTCTTCATTCAAAAGTTCATATAGAGCAGACTCTATAGCAACTCTACAAAAATTGCAATTATAATAGATCTATTATATATACGCAATTTTTGTAGAGTATGCTCAATTTCTGCTCTATATGCTTTTTTTTATTGTTATTTGAAAATTAAAATTTATAATAATATACGGGATGAAGAATTCAACTTGAGACTTATCAATTACAAATCCGTCACACGCACACACAGAGTCATTCGACATCCCAACACAACTTGACATAACAACTTAATTTGTATTGCTTCGGTTTTATTGAATGTGCTATTTGTTATCAGGTGCAGGATATCATCTCTGTGGATCCATGTCATAAGTTCACTTGGTGTCTGGACGCATGCATCAGAGAAAAGAATGTGGATGTTAAAAGATCTCGCGAGTTACAAGGCTTCCTCGACAGTATTAAGGTAACAAGATCGAATAAAAATTGCGTTTTATAAACGTCACTTGCATTTGGAATTGCGATATAATCTGTAGTTTTGTATAGAGAGGACAGGAGCAGGTGTTAGGGGATCTAAGTATGATTTTGTGTGATCCCTATGCAGTAAACTTTCTCGCTAGCAGTGCAATCAAAATAGCGCTTCATCTGATAAACGGCGAGGCGCTGCCCAGAGAAAACGCAGTGCTTGTATTATTGTTGAGAATGCTCGCGCTAGGACTGTCCGCTTGGCAGATGATCGATTCGCAAGACTTTAAGGAGCCAAAACTGGACAGTCAGGTTGTCACAAAGTTCCTGCCGGCACTTATGTCGCTCATGGTAATTTATATAAAATTATTGAAACGTTTATATAGAATTGACTTAGTATAATATAAAATATGCAGATAAAAATAATATCTCTGTTTCTTAGGTTGATGATCAAATAAGGCAGCTCAACTGTAGACTTCCGCCTGACGAGAGGGAAAGTGCAATCGCGATTATAGAACATTCTGGACCACCTCCCGATGCGTGCCAAGCGTATGCTCAGCTTTCTGGAGTGGCGGCAGTTCTGTCCATGTACTATGCATTACACGTCGGTGGTGGTGGTGGAGTTGGGAGAGCTAGGGGAGATGCCAGAGGTTTGATGAGGGTACTAGCGACATTACCAAATTGTCAAGCGCAACGGGCGTTTGAAGATCCATTTCTACACACGCTGGTAATACATTTAATCTAATATATTTGTTGTATCTTATAATCAACTACAACATCGATATTTATCACAGTTGCGTGAAATTTTAAAATTACAAGCCTTCGTATTAAGTTATCGATTTTTAATTACAGGTTTCGTTATTAATATTGAACATGGCTGACGAGTTCTCGAACGAGTCTTTCTGCACAGTAATTTTTGATGAATTCTTCTTGGCCGGTTTAGGTAGAGATAACGTTACACGACATCTGTTGAAATTACTTTGGTACATATATCCTAAATTGCCGTCCGCGCGATTGCATTCGTTGTTGAAAGCCTTACAACCGACGAGTCAGGTAATATCATAATATTCAGAAAAAATCTTCATACGTTCATTAGACGTAACCGAATACAGACACGAAGATACTTTGTTTCTATTATACATATAGTAATCTTAAACTGTTGATTTAATATTTTTTGAATTTGCAGCATAATGAAGCAGTCCACAGTCTTTATGAATCTCTACGTGACAAAGTGGGCAGTCATTCTACAGAGGACCAATTAGCAGCGACAGCTCAAATAGACCCGTTAAGCATCGATTGTTCTCCTTCAGTGTTTACTGGAATGCCGTCATCGACATCGAGCACGCTTTAATATTTAATTCAAGAAAAGTAAAAAAAAGAACTGATTTGAGCTTCCTCAGTTTACAAGTACAAGAAGGAGTGATCACTGTGATGTGTACTATCATTGATATATCTCGGTAATTTAATTTTTTGATACATCTAATTTAATTTTGACAATAATACATATCCATGATTTCCCGAAAAAATTTTTTATTTAAGCTACTTTTTAATAAAACAATATAAAAATACAGTTAAAGTAATTATAAAATTGCAAGACATTTAGACAACCCAGATAAAACATTATTGCGTACAATAATGTTTTATCTATTAATTATATTTTTAAAAAATATTTTATATTGTAATATTAAATTTTAAATATAATAGGGATAATAAAATTGAAATTAGGAGAGAATAATTTTTAATATTTACGAAACTATTTCACAGTTTTCATTTAACATTATTTATCGCTTGACTTATTGTTAGTTGCGTCTATATTGTTTGTTACTTCCATTATAAGTCTGTCTAAATAATTGGAATCTAATTTGTACGTTGTCAGAATCATAGATGTGTACATCGAGGCTTGCTTAGATCGGAGCAACGATTGCAATCGTGTATCAATCAAGCTCAACCTGGAATTATATTTACTTTTTAATATAAGTTTTTTTAAATCAATTTTATATTTAAATTAGACAATTAACATTATATTTAAATGACAACTTACATTTTAATGATGACAAGTCCCACGAGTGTCCACTCAGCAGTTTTAAAGACGATGTTCGTAGCAGACAAATTGAAAGTGCTAATCAAGATCTTGATTAATGAATACTTCTCGTTATTATAAGTATATTGTGCCAGTGAAGAAATATCCGCGCTAGCTGTTAAAGCACGCATCAAATCCGGCAATCTGTAATTGACAAATGCACGAATAGAATAACTATATGATCGCATTTCAGACATTGAAACATCTCTCTCAACATTTGATCTCTGAATAGTCGCTCTGAAATGGAAATTCTTACATCTTATTAAGATTGTCCAGGAAAATTCGGCGACGAAGCGCATTGGGCGTATGAGTGTCTGTCAGTGGTAATACAGGCTCATCGTCGTCTTTACTTTCCGATTTTGTGTTACTATTCTCAGATGGTGTGATCGTCATTCGACCCTCGTAAAACGCACGTACCTGTACATACACATATCACAATTAATCGATATATCTTATTTACGATTGATCAAAATAAGATTAATATCTTAATTTCGCACCTTTAATTCCATCTTCTTTCCATCCTCTTGGAGCGTGGAGAAGTGTGGTGAAGGTTTGAGCTCGTTTCTCTCCAAGTCGACGCGATCCTCCTTTTCGTCCTCCACTTGCAGCTTGTTCAACTTTCTACACAACTGCTGATACCTGTCGTACTGCGTAAGCTTCTCTAGTAACTGACTCCTCTCGTCCGCATCGCCCATTAGAAGGCAACGCGTATTTTTCGTCACCCATTCTCTGACATTCTGTTCAACGTGCATCGCAAGTCTGAGATAAATATTTTGTGCTTCCGCGTTGTCAGTTTTCTTCGGCTTGTACTTTTTACTTTTGTCAATTCTATCTGCTTCTCCTATTTTCCTATCACAGCACGCGGATGCAGAAGAGATCACAGTATTACTACGCGTTTTATCCGAATGAGATTGCTTCATTTTTCCATCATTAGGGCTATTATTTATTTCTATCGGTATCTGATTTCTATCTGTATTTAATCTGATCTGTACCTGAGGCTGTAATCTTTCTTCATTTTTATTATTCTTGTTGCTCCTTATTTCAACTGACTGAGGCTGTAATCTGTCTTCATTTTTATTATTCTTGTTGTTGCTTGTTTCAACTGACTGAGGCTGTATTCTTTTGCTAATACTATTTCCATCGTTACTCACCTCACCCAGTTGAGGCTGTAACGTTTCGTTATTGGATCTATCTACATTACTTTTATTTTCTGTATCCCCATTGTGTTTATGCAAATGTAGAATATTATCAGATTGGCCGGCAATCTCTATTTCTAAATTCTCTAGGGTAACGTCTACTTGTTTCACATTATTATTATTGTAGCTACTTTCAGGATTTGTAAACTCCTCGGAATCACAATTTTTGCTTTCCAGATTCGTATGCAGTTCTGACGGAGGCGTTTCGCAGTCGAACGGTCTCTGCGAATTAATATTTACAGAAATCTCTTCGGTTTTCGCATCTTTCTCGGCAGTTGCATTATCTGATAAATGAGAGTTGCACGTATCTTTTTTCTCAGGGCTTGATGCATTGCACGCCGCATCTCTTTCCATCTTGATCGCGCTACGTTCTGCACCCTTTTTACCGTCATTGTCATTATTGTCAGCATTTACGTTTTGCGAAAATCTATTTCCGGTAACGTCGATTTCGTCCCCACACGGCGCAGATCTGAAGTTCGGTGGCATGATTTGAAAGACCGGTGTGTCCTCGTTCTCTCTCAACCACAGCGGGCTCTCGAGCATTTGTTCGAGAAGAAAATTCGCCGCCGCGTAGCACTGCGAGCTGCAAAAGTTCTTTCGCTTGCTGATGTCGTACACTTTGTTCTTGCGAGTCGATATGTGATACTGTTGTCGAATGATGACAGTCAGCTGATTAGAACAGAGAACGTATCCGCACAGCTTTACTATTGCTCTCTCTTCTATTGCATCTTCCATATGGCTCTTATTTATGAATCCTAGCTGCAAGAGCAATAAGTCACGAGATAAATTACTAAGATATTGTTGAATACCCACACTGTGCTCAAATATGGGGGCGGGGGGAGACAATACTTGCAACCAGCGTACTTACATTTTGAAGGAGCCAGTTGGGATTCACATACGGCTCCAGAAGCTGCATGACTATCTTAAGAGCCTTCGCGTCACATTGTTTCTTTTTGATTACAGCCAGCTGTATCTGCGCCTTGCTTAAAAAGAAATCCAAATGAGAAGGACGATTTCAGGAAGATCCGCGTCGGTACGTGCGAGTGAACTAACCTCATCTTTTTGAGTCTTTGCTGCTCGGTCATTTGCGTGTGTTTCTTGGTCGCTGACATCGTCACGATTGTCTATCCGATGAATTCACAAGGCGATAATACGTGATAAAATAATTCGCAATTGTAAGTACTTTAAAACATTACAAAATAATTCTTCCCACGTCGCGTACTGCCACGCGAACTCGTTCACGATCAGGTGAGATCTGTCGAGGTTAACTTGGATTAACTTCTCGCTTCTGCTTCTGCGCCAGTACTGCCAGTTCGAATATGGTAGGTAATCAATGAAATGAGCTGGGTTTTCTTATCTGAAAAAATTTCGCATATGAAAATACTAGAAAAATCTATTATAGTATATGTGACGTATACTATAATATTTTCATACATATTTTCTTAAATAATATTTTGCAAGAATACGGTCGCTGTACTTCCAAATATTTGCGTGAATTTATTTCATGTTTGAAACATATTGCGTTTTATTGTGCTTAAAATTTATCAATAAAATTATAGAGTAAAAAAATTAGAATGCACATTTCTCGATATCTTTTCACGGAAAAATTGTCAAAATTATCAAAAGAATATGTTCTTCTGATAAAAAAAAGTAGAATTCTTTTTTACAATTAATTATTAGTGTTGATCAATTTGTAATAAATTAAAATCGGGTAAATATATTGTAGTTAAATAAAATTAAGAAGAATTTGATATATTTCAATATTTTTTTTCTTTTTTTCTTTATATTTTTTGAAGGTTTATTAAAGTGTAACAGTTGCAAAAACACATTCTCGCGAATAATTTAAATCAAATTAGATCACATATATATTATACAGAAATTTAGCTAGAAATAGACTTTCAATAAACAGAATCTATTATTCAGATGTACGTTAGGATTGCCGAAAAATATTCTAATTCAAATTCTATTATCGGATTATGTTATTTGAATATTATTCCTAGGTATCAAATTCCGCGGACATAAATAATAATTAATCTTATTTGTGTGACAAAAAATTTTATTTATAGTCAGAGAGGGATAAAAGATGTTGAAAAGAGTAAAAAATGCCGACACACACTTAAAAGATTGTTGCCAGAATATATTTCCTGCACTTTTCCATATAACGGCAACCGGCCGTTTGCCATTAGCTACAATAGTCTCTCGACTCACACTCTCTCGCATTCATAAATATGAAAACACACGCACGCTGAAAATCGCGAAATGAGGAAGATATTTATCTGTACACCATTGACCGCAAGATTTCTTTAGGTATATTCGCCCACGCATATCTTTGTTCGTTATTCGGCCTTAAGATATATAAGTATTGTCGTATATCTGCTTTCTATTTTCGCGATATGTCGAAACAGTTCTTTCGGAATTTCCGAGGTCTTTATATAAAAATTGCGCAAAACGTTACATAATTTATATGACCCGATTCATTATATGAATATTAATATTTATATCATTCAGAAGAATGATTGTATAAATTTCTATATAAAAATATAAATTTTTAAATTTCACGTTCAAAAAACGTTTTAGAGACGCTCTAAAAGTTATCTTCAAAATTTATAACATCTTTACAATATCTTTTAGATATTTATTCTATTTGAATTCATTCTAGATCAACATTTTATTTTTAAATAAATGTATGCAAAGAATTGATAAAAAATGAATTTGCTTTAGAAAATTTTTGAACTTTTCTAAAATTTCAAAGACGGAAATTCACCTTAAAAATGTTGAAATTGTTTCTTCCTAATTAAAATATTTTACATTTTAGTCTCTTAAATTCTCAAATTTAATTACAATTAAATTTAAGTATTTAAGAGACTCGTCAAGTACCTTTAGATATATTGGCTGTTTAATAAAATAGAAATAAATTCGAGAATTTTTAATGGTAATCCCAATTTATGCAAATATTTTCCGGAACTTTCCGTTCGATTGGAAAAGAGTGAAATCAATGCGTAAAACACATACATGTACAAAAGCACGGAAAAACATTAATAAGTAGGAGAAAGTTTCTTGCATCACGAAACTTATAGTCACCGTTGATTATTACGGATTGATTGCCACGATAGTTGCGCTGACAGATTCGCGCGTAGATCATGCAGCGACAATTTCCAAGTTGTGCAAAAAATGAACGAGAATTCGTGATGTTACTGCCGATTTTGCAAAATTTCGAAGAAACGGAAATGCAACGAATTCTTACAGCGATTAAGCTGTTTATTCGCATACGGACGTATTATCCGAATCGCGAACCGTGCGTCCTGTCTTGCTTAACTATCTTCACTATCCCTTTTTAGATCACAGTTTCGATCATAACACGCAAGGTACTCCAATAGAAGTCGATTAGAGAGCGATTTTTCAATTGTTTCCGCAAGAGATGCATTATTAAGAATTAAAAGTCGGGAAATCTTAAAACGAATTATTGTCATCGATAGCTCCTTTATCAATTATTTTACAAAAACAAATGCATTGAAGCAACTTTTAAAGGAAAAATTTGGAGAAGACTTGACTTATAATAAACTTTCTTTTAACCCCTACTCCAAACCATTTGCCAAATTGAATCGCTGGACTTATTGTACGACAAAATGCTACATCTGTCTATCGTTTAAGGCACGCTTACTGAACAATTGATACGCCGTCACGTAGAAATAAGGAAAGAAATGATTAAAACGAACACTTCATATTCTTGTTTGATTAATATTTAACAAAAAATAAAGCACAAGTTATATTAAAAGCGTACTTTTTGGCGTGCAAAAATTAATGTTCAATACGTATCAATGTTCAATACAATAAATAAATCTAAGAATTGATCTAATTTATTTTAAGCTAATCAAAATAATTTAAAAGGTCGTAGACTTATATTACTACAAAGTATGTATTAATTTGAAGCATGGCAAATATTTTTCTAAATTTCTTTTCTGTTAATTAGACATGAAAAAGTTAAAAAAATACACCTAAATTCTAAAATTTTTAGATTTATTCACATTTTTTAAACATTAATCTGCGTTTAAATGTAGACTTTTTGATTTAATTTGTGCTTTATTCATTACGAAATATTAAATCAGACTATAATATAATATTAATTCGTGATCTGCACGTTTTTCTTGCTTCTTTCTCTACGTGCGCCGATCGATATGCCTGATATATCGCGGGACATTTTAGTTTTGATTGATATTGAGCACGTATATTACACACACATATATATATATCTCGGATATATATATCTATGTGCAAATATATATATTTATATATATATATTTATATATATAATATTATCGCTTTCGATTTGAGCTATTCTTAACGACTAACTTAAACCCGATATGCCGGCAACGTCGTCCCGGCACTATCCTCTCGCATCGGCGCCTTGTCCTTTGTGCAAAGGACATTGCACAACGCGAGTGCTACGAGATTAACCCTTTGGCTGCGAAGGGCGCGATACGCCAACCTAAAATTGTGGAATCTATAGTGACAGCGGAGGGAGAAAACGGCAGAGATTATCGCGAGGATCCCAGGATCCTAAGAATCCGAGTGATTCAAGTGGGTGACTTAAAATTTGGAACTTTAAGCTAGATCCCGTATTCTCGTCACCTTTAGAATGATCAGACGTACGTAATCGTGTATAATCTCATTTTATATTCATTTTGCTCACGTCAGATGAAGCAGGATTAAATGGCCGCTTAATGGCGCCAAGCACATACACGATGACAAACAATACGATCCTCCGAAGAAGCAGAAATTCAAAACGTGTACGATAAATCTCTATAGAGATTTGAGAATTGATAGATCTGCTCTCTTCTAGTTATAATGAAGTATCGACACTCCTCCATATGTCTTCTCAAAGGAATGTAGTGTCGCTAAATGTGTATACTTGTAACTGATTGTCTTAAGGCACTCTCTATGCGACAGCTCGTTCCTCAAATAATATTCGAGCCTCGATATCGTGCGTAAGATTTCTCGATGCGTAGTACAAACGTAGCGACACAACTTCAACGTCGTTTTTCCACCACTTATTTCGTAGTAAGCATTACTATACAAAAAGTCTTCAAAATCACATTGTTAATCCTCGTTCAGTGGCGCCCGGAACCTTTCAGATTCCAGTTTCGTACACAAAATTAATATTTTTGGCAGCGTTAATTATGTAAAAAAAGAAATGTACAATTAACGTTAATTTCTTTGTACCTTAAGAATCCTTTCTTATTTCATACTCAATAGCCACATATTAATTATAATAATAAATTTTTTTTTCTATGTTTTTTTTCGTTACATAATTTAATAAAAAAATTTGGACAATAAAATTTAACACACAATAAAATTTAAATTTAATAGATCGAAATTCAGATTGAGTGAGCAGAAAAAAAAATTATTACACGAATCCGAACATACTCGGGCGTCACTCCCTACTTGTCCCGCTGTTTGAGAGTAAAATCCTCTTGAAGTTCAGCCCCTTGAAACTAATGGATCGCAACTCGGACGTCTTAGTCCGTGTTTGCACAAAACGCCGTTTCCTTTCTATTTGCTTTTCTTTCCTTTGCATTGTCATAGTCTCGCAAGATTGTCATATAATTGAACACCATTGCAATTATAGTTATCTCTCTCAGGAATTCAAAGCCGAAATATATAATAACCCAATATCCCAATCTGGATCGCTCGTAATGTTTAACGAACGTTTACAAAATGTATTCGTCGAATACGAAGAGAAGATATTATTGGGAAAAATTTATGAATTATATACGAGATATTCTTCAAATTTAACTTGATATTTTCTGAAAAAATATATTTTCTCTCTGAAGATATGATTTTATTTGGGTTGAAAGTAGACTATATCGGGATAATCGATGCACTATTTTTAAATGCTGTACTTATCTATGGACTCCGTTGATCTTTCCTCGAGAGAACCTAAAATATGGCAGTTCTTTCTTCCCAAAATCGATTGTTACTGCAGTCCTGCTTTCAAGGGACTGAATTCGATCGAGGGATCTCCCGTATCGCGTCGATAATTTATCTTTATTCCCTCTAAGGATACCGGGGATCCGTCAAATGCCGCGTCGATGTAGGATACTGCAGATTGTGGTAGGATCTGCTGCGCCTGTAATCGCGCGGCAACTGATTCGAGTGGCGATACGCGACGTAAGGTCCTAAGCAAGGAAGATTGGCCGTTCGCGGACGTTCGTTGTCCTGGCCCGAGCCTCCTCGCGCCGGTCGCATCTCGGCGCCGGGATAGTCCGGCGCCGGATGCTGGGGTTCGCCGTTCGCGGACTGGAACTGCGACAGGCCGTACAGGACGCCGATGGATCTCCTCCACATGTCGTGGCGGATCTGATTCGACTGTTGGTCCTGCTGGTCCTGCTGCTCCTGCTGCTCCTGCTGCTCCTGCTGCTCCTGCTGCTCCTGAGGCGGCTGCTTGCACTGGCGCCTCCTGCTCTGCGAGGAGCCGCTCTCGGTCGAGTTGCTGTCCTCGCTGGTACCCAGGCCGGGATCCCTCTCCTCGAACACCGCCATGCTCATCGCGGGACTGTCCTGGAGCGGCTTGATGTCGCCCGGACCGTAATAGACTAGATGAGGAAGCGGGATCACGTAGGGCGGCTGTTGCTTCTGCTGCTGCTGCTGCTGCTGTTGTTGCAGTTGCAGCTTGCTCGCCTGCAGCTCCTTTTCCTGCGTGCTATTCTTCGTGTTCTCCGCCTCACCGGGCTCGATCTCGCCGCCGCTGCAGATGCCAGGCCCGAAGAGGGACAGCAACACCGGCAGCAGGAACATACCGTGCAGGGCGCCGATGAAGATCACGAGGAAGACCATCTTGAAGAATACCAGGAAGATGTAGGTGCCGGCCAACAGGAGGGCCATCAGGCCGAGTATCGTCGAGGCGGCACCCTGAACGATCGGCAGACCTAAGCTGTACAGGCTGTCTTTAACCCGATCCTCCGCCCGCGATCGTTTCGACCTCATGTAGGCGTAACAGATATGCGCGGTGAAATCGACGCTGAAGCCGATGCACATGATCAGATTGATCATAGAGATGCTGTCGAGATTGACATCCCACAGCGCCATGTAGCCGGCCACACCCAGCTCGATCGACACGATGCAAAAGGCGACCCACAGGCAGCAGAAGATGTTTGGAATGAAGATGAAGCTGATGAGCATCATCACGAGGGCGCCGAATATCATGCACTGAATGCTGGTCGGCCTCACTAGTTCGAACTGATCGAAGAACACAAAGTATGGATGGAATACGCTCGCGTTGAGCGGCGACGCCGCGCATATGCCGCGCAGCTGCTTCACCATCTCCTTCTCTTGATTGGTACCGCTCACGTTCACCGCCTGTATCAGGAACCGGCTCGCCACGATCTTCTCGCCCGTCTCGTCGAACTTAACATCCAGGGTGAAAGCGCTGTTCGGGTAGAGCCAGATCTCCTTAAGATTCTTGATGAAGTCGTGCTCGTTCGTGATGCTCTTGTTCAGGTAATCCTCGTTGCGCGTCACGTAGCTGATAAAGCTGCGTAACCAGCTCTCGGTGTAGACCGGCGCGCTAATGTATTTACTCGCTTCGAGGCTACTCGTCAGGTTCTCTACCTGCTGCTGGATCATCGGATCACTGTAGTCGTATTCGCCGGATATTATCACCTAGAAGAGAACGACGAAAGTGCAATTAAAATATATATTCTTAAGTGATTTTTTTTAAATCAAGCTAAAAATCGCGAACAAATTTTCCGCAAGAAAAAAAATTGAATAACTTTATACGCTCAAGAATCCTTGATAATCATCTGACGTTTTTTTCCCTCCTTTCCCTTTCAGCAGTTTACGAAAGTCGCAAAAGGTAACGGTAAAGTTCGCGGAGAATTTATATATACAGGTTGGTCAGGCACCTTTTCGGGAATTCCTGCGGTGTCTCCCCGTGAAAGTAATTTCGAGAAAGCGCCGGTGGACCGACCGGCTTCCTCTCGGACCACGGCGCAAAGCCGCAACGTCACGTTTTGTCACGATTATGCAATTTGTCCGATCTCGGCGCACGTTGACGCATGTACATTTCGACATGAAACGTTTCGCGAGCGGATCCAATTACGCCGTGCGTTCGTTATTAAGAGTTCACCATGACAGTAGTTTCTCGGCGCGTGACGTTTCCGCGCAGTCATCGGAACTTGACGGCTCGTGACGTCGCGGCACGTTATTAATATCGCGAGGAAACGCGATAGTGCGAGACCATCTTCGAGAAACGTACTTTCACTACAATGTATCGAACTAAACGCCGACAGGGGGGAAAAAAGGTCCCAGTGAAATTCTTAGTCTACGGCCATATCTCTCGCGGCTGCACTCGCAATTTTACTTCATCGGAAAGAGAGGAGAGATCTCAACGCCGCGCCAAGAAGCGCGCTTAAGACGCATTGAAATCGCTTCCGAAGTCAGAGGAAGTTATGAAATATTCAATTATCTAATTGAAACACACAGCAGGAACTGGAGGAAACTGTCTCGCGACATATTGGCGCATCTTTCGGAATATATTTCTTACTATAAATATAACGTTCTTAAAGATACATGAATTTAAGTCAAAAGACAATTCGTACTAGAACTCGCGATAGAATTTTACTTATAATTTTACGTACTGTGTAATATGAAAAACAACTAAAAGAATTAGTATATATACATAACGTATACAGTATAAACAAAATAAAATTATTTTCTAAAATCTGACGTAAAATTATGGATTGTTTAAAATAGATTTAAATACCTAGATAACTAATATCTATAAGATTGATACTATGATTCACGTTGTGAAGATCAAACAATAAATAATCAATAAACAGATTAATAAATTTTCATTTGATAAAATGCTAATAAACATACTTTTAATATTATCTTCAAACGAATAATAAAATGAATAATAAAATCTTGAAGGTATATAATTAACGCATTGGTAAAATAGAAATATCTTCCGGTTTCTCGTAATCATTTTGTTAGAAAGAAAGCGTTAGAGATAAAGCAGAGAAACAGATTCCCGGATGTGTGTGCGAGTCTAAACGATCGGCGTGAAATTATTTGTGCGTCACGTGTAAAAACATGTGGGAGATTTATACGGGGATCTCTCCGATTTAGTTGGGTCTTTCTCGTCGATCGGTTCGGAGAAGCGTGATGTAACGGACATTGCTTTTCTTGAGGTTCACGCTAGCCAGCCGGAGAAAGTTGTTTGCACGATATCGCGCCGTGTCGAGGGGGAGCACGTGACATAATTGCGCGTACCGGATTATGCGTGGCAGTTCCAAGCGTAACGCACTCCGTTCTTCCGAACGTGCTTTTTTTTGCGCCGCTTATGAGGAAACATTCCCCCCGCGAGTTCGCATGCACGGAAACCGGAACTATCTAAATATTGACCGATGCGGCTTTCGAGTCTTCAAGAAACAAAAGGGGAGGGACCATCGTAATCGTAGAAACGCGATTATTTTTCATAGTCAATAAAATGGTGCCAAAATGTTATGTGACCAGCCGTCAAGGTGGTAATTAGAAATCGAGACTTTTTTTTCTTCTTTTTTTAAATATTGTGTTACAATATTTAATTATATTTTCTGTGATATTTCATTTTTGTGGTATTTTTTTGATTTTTTAGATATTCAAGCAGACAAAATTCCATAGCAATAAAATATGACATGTTAAGAAATGTTGAAAAAATTGCAAACATAGTAAAAAATTAACAAATTTATATCCCGATTGCCGTGCGAGTTTTGAATCGAAATTCGCCAATATTTACCTGTATCCTGTAAGGGTATTCTCTGAAGTAATAATCTTCGCGGTCGTAAAAGGCGATCGAGTAGGAATCTTCCTTGGAAAGCTTGCGTCGATCCAATCCCTCCTGAAGGTTCGTAAGTCCGTAAAGGGCCCCGAGAAGGTAGCATATGAAAACGACGATGATAATCGCTTTCACGGGACGATAATTTAGCGCAGCCGCCAAATAGTCGCGGAACCAAGTCATACATCCGTGCTCGGGATTGTCGATCGGATTGTGAGGATCGTCGGGATCAATCCCGCCGGAACACAACGCTCTGTACAGCCACGATCGATGAGCTGAAATGTGTCACATATGCCGTTCAAGATAAATAATTCCGTTAGAAAAGGAAACATCGCTCGTTGCAGTATTTCGCCGCCAGTATTTTCGCTCTCTAAGATATACAACGTTGCATAATGTAAATCCGCGCGCGAATAAGAGACGAAGCTGCATCCGGTTCTTTTCTTTTTCGGTACTCCGCAGTCGCCGGCGTGACAACAATGTTTGAAAAAATAAAATACGGAGAAAGCAGACTCTTTCCTTTACATAATACCGTATGATCTAATGAATTAACGGTTTCCGAACGTAACGCGTGTCTATCCGTTGACGTAACATTGATACGTCACGCAGACGTAACGAGAGATTTCGAACGGCGGCGAATAACAACGACTTGTATAGCGAGAGAAAACAACGACGTAATTGTAAATTTACAAGAAATTAGCATTAACTTGCGTGTAATTAATTAAAACTGGAATTTAATGAATTGTCGGGAACTACCGTTCGCATCGTAAGTCGGTTTGGTAAGATCTATAGATACGACGTATCCAGACAAACAAACAAAATTATATTATTCCCACGGGTAAATTAAATTGTAACACTTACTGGATTTCGACAGCGGCTCCACTTTGCAGCAGACGACGCTGTGCAAATTTCTTTGCTCGCAATAACCGCTGATCGCGACGCATCCGCTGAAGAACGTTATGTGAAATAGGAAAGTGAAGACCACTGCGAAACCTGCCATTTAAAACATGTTTAATATTAATAATTAAAAAATACAAACTCCGATATGCATATGAAAAAGTTGAACTTTTCAAAACTATTTTTGTATTCTACTGTGTTATTGCGTTCGTATATCTTTAATAAATTAACATCAGCTTCGTTTGGATACAACTTAATTTATTCGGACGTCGCAATACCTGAGTAAATGCAAAAAATTTGGACCGAAGGGAAAGGCGACAAGATGCCAATGAAGAAGGATATCATGTCCGTCAAGGACGTGATGGTGATGCTGACGGCAGCCTCGCTCAATGTCGCCGCCATTCTTTCCGGCACCGGTTTGGAGATGCTCGTCCTTCTCCAGGCCGCTAGCATAACGAAGGTGTCATCGATCCCTATTCCTGCAATCGAAAGGCACGATTTACACTTGGTAATTGCAATGTCTCACTTTTTTTTTAAGTTGTACGAATTTCTCTATTACATAAATTCTTTAAGAATTTCATATTATCTAATCTGTAATTCCAATGGAGTTTAAATTCTAAACTTATTAATAATATATCTCCAAGAATAATTTTTTTCTTTAAAGAATAATTTCCTCCTTTTTTTAGTTTTCCAAATTTTTTCGGTTGAATTCTTTATGAATTCCTCATTATCTGTAAAGTCCGAAACGGTTTAAACTGTTTGTTTGCATTCAATCGTTAATCCTGAATAGCTTTTCTAAGAAAGATAATATTGTTTAACCATTGCATTTTCTAAATACACTCAATTATTCCTTGAAAATTTATCATCGCCGATTCTTCGGTTGGATGTCACGTCTGTTTTCAAGTGTCACGTCCGATTTCTCAGAGAGCGTGAATAGTAATAGAAGACGTAGTCTTCGCAATAAATCAAAACCGCGGAACAATGCATTCCGCATTTGAAAACCGGAAACTTCATTAAACCAATACGTAATTATTTGTGACTAATGAAAATGTTATGACGTTTCTCGGATATTACATTTAGTTCTATTTTCTACTTGAAATTTTCACAATAAAATTTATATTGTAATTTATATTAGATATTATTTTTTAATCTCAATGATTTACTAAAATTATTAAATTTTATCTTAGAGAGAGAAATATAATAAGTTAATCAACTTTCGCAAAAATATTTTATTCGATTTAATTAATCGAATTAAATCGAAAAAAGGTCAACTGTCGACTTTTATTAACGTTACATATTTTTGGATGAAATTTGAGCGAATAACGGTCGTTTTGAGAATTGCGGTTAGTCGATTGGATCGAATAAAGCTGTTATTATTGGTAAAGACTGACTCCGCTCGGCGTGACGCAGGCGAGCGCGACGTCGAAAGGGAAAAGACGACTTCCGCTTTTCACATAAATCATAGTTCGTTTATTTCGCTCGTATGCACCAGACGGTGCGAGCATGTTTATCGTCGAGAACACGTGTTTCCACAAACGCGACAGGAGATTACAGCATCGTGTTGCAAAAAAAGGCGAAGCTTAGGTCGTTATTTTCGTTGCTCAACTTTTAGGCAAAGTATCAATTTAAATATTGATTGTGACAAATCTCCGACATAATAAAAAGGTTTACGAAGTAGCGACAAAAACAGCGAGAAAATGTAGAGTATCCCAAAATTAAAAAAGAAACTTGACGCGGACTGATATTTTAAGAACATAAATAAAAATATTACACGATTAAAATTTCTTGTGTAAATGATTAAAAGTTGTTAATTAATAATGGAAGAATTCTGAAACCAAATTTTTAAAATACATATAAATAAATTACAACCGATTTGCATCCATATTAAATTGCAAAACCTTGTGCATTTGCATTATTTCATATTGAAACATGAATTTCTTTTTGCAGAGATATCGAAAAACAATGAATCACAGCTCACCTATCATGAGGAATGGCGCGGCGAGATTGAGGCCGATGAAGTCGATCCCCAGGTAGATGCACAATCCGAAAGCGGCAACGGTCGCCATCGCGGCCGAGATGTTGCCCAGAAGACCGAGCCAAGGTTTGCTGCGCACCCAGTCGGTCATCATGCACGTCACGACCGAGAAGAGGCCCATTATGATGAACGTGCTGGCGAAATACGGCACGACCGTCTTCGTGTTGGCCTCCAGCTCCAGCTCGAGGGTCCTCGAGGCGAATCTCGCGGTGCTAATGTGCTTAAACGCACCTCCGTCCTCGGCCTTGCCGACGACTTCCAGAAAAGCCTCTTCCCAAGCGGCGCCGCTGTATCGGCATATCAAAGAGGAGATTCGATTATACCAAAAAGTACTGAAGACTCTCCCCGTCGCGTGAGTGAAATATTATAGGCATATCACGAGGAAATTTTAGCCGGGAAAACACGTAGGTGTTTATTTATCTTGAATTTTGATTTTGTTTTTTCTACAAAATTTAACTTCCTGAATACTTTGCGAAATAATTTGACCCACGATTAAAATGTAACCGAAACAAATATGGCTAGAGGACCGTCAATATATACTTTACCATCTTTAACGATAACAATGGGCAATCAATATAATATGGTCACGACACGATGAATCACAGACACTTATTATTTGCACGGACGCCGCTGATAGCAATAGATGATTCAATTGGTGATGTCCGACTGGCGACCATGTGGTGAATTAATGAGACACTATACGAGCACAGCTGATTATTATCAATGTTATAAAATTTTGTTTCATAATTTTTATAAGACTGCATTATGCAGTTCTACGTGACGCGATATAACAAATTAAAATATACCGAAATTAGACCCGCGTTGTTCATAATTTTGTTAAATTTGGTGTCTGTTTTATTTTAACAAGAGATTTTAGTTTTTGACATGTAATTATAAACAAAATATTTGTCAAAAATCGAAATCTCTGAAAAATTGCTTATATATTATTCTTGAACAGAATATTACGCAAATTTTACAGTATTCGCATAAAGAACGTATATCTTTCATAGAACTACGAGTACTCTCGCGTCGGTAAACAACGATCAACGTTACTTTCGAGATTGCCGTCGGGTGTGATTGAAATAACTGGACCAATTCCATCAGTGAGCTCCGACGTGTTTGCGGACGTGATCGGTAGACTTACATTGCATCCTGCCGTGGACTGTCGACGGTGATGAAGTAGGCGAGCTGCACCGAGGGCGCAGACTCTATGGTGTGATCGCTATTGATAACGCTTCCGCCGAAGAAGACCGGAAACAGATGAGCGTCCCAGGTGATCGGATTGAACATCACCGGAAACGTAAGATTCAGCTCTCGCCTCTCCACTTCCCTGAAAAAGTTTAAGGCTCGATTGGAAACTCTCGACGCGAGTCAACCGCAGTTGCTGCAGTTTTTAAAAGCGCGCCGTTTTCACTTCTTCACGCTCGAGTACGGAATCGTTAATTTTATTTTTTCAACGCGTCTCGCGTACTTTATTATGTGATGGAGATTTAGGATGTCGTTGTTGAAACACTGATCGAGCCATCGCGCACAGATCTGTTCGTAGGTGAATTCCTCGTCCTCGTATCTCGCCGTGACATTCCTGATCAGCCAGTCGAGCTCCCTCAGCTCCTGCCAGATCGCGCTCTTCAGCATATTATGCCCGCCATCCTTCGGAATCACGATTACATGACCGAATCGGCCTGCAACAAGCAATCGGATCCAATCGTTCACTAACCAGGAAATAAGGTGAGCCATTCTTCCGGTAGTATAGCAAAACACGATTGGCTTCTGTATTACCTTCCTATAAACGCGGCGGGGATAAGAAGTTATTAGGAAGTTCAATTATGAAAATATTTTATAATGGAAACCAAGAAAGTTGTAAAGAAAGTTCATTCTGAAGTGAATCTTATTTTTTTTTTTTAAATAATGACAAACTTGAGATTCGCTTTTCAAGATTTTCAATGTTGAAAGTTGTGATGATTGCTTCAGGTATTTTAAAAGGAATAAAAAGTCAATATTAAAGGCCTGAAGGTATCGCACAGTTTTTCACGAGAATCTTACAGGCGCAAGATAATACGTTATCTCTATCCATGCCAACTCTCGATTGGACGGATTATAGGCTCGTTGGTTTTACGGAATTCCTCGCGGGCGTATAGAAATCGCGGGAGAACGGCGGGATGAATGATTGACGAGACTCTCACCTGGTCGTGTGATACGACCGACATTGAATTGGTGGCTGTAATTGACTTTAAAGTACTGCTCGACTATCGCTCGCTCGGTCTTGCCGGGGCCGTTGACGGGCGAGAACAGGTATTCCGGGTCGATTTCGTAGTGTATCCTCTGGTAGCCGGTGAAGCATATGCACGCCAGCAGTATCGGCACGATTACGAAGTAGCCGGGGTGTCGACCGACAAAGAGGCCAACCTTGTAAAACGCGCGATTCAAAAAGTCGTCGACGCACGTCAGGTGCCACATCTGAAAAGAAAGCGAAAGTGCACTAGACTGTTAATCGTCATTCCGCCCGTTACTTCGCCGAAATACCAAGGATCGAGGCCGAGTTAATGAAATCAAATTCTCAAGGATTTGTGAAAAAAGAAGAAAACATTCTTGAAGCTTACAAAGTTGCATAGATTATTCCTTGGATTAAGAAATCATAAAAGTTAATTACTATATTAACAATAAAATAAATGCGTTACGGTCGCTGAGTCGCATATGCCATTTTTTTTAAGAGCTCGCGAAACAAAGGATGTATAAAAGTCTATGTAGATTTTCGTCATTGAAAGCGAAAATCAAGGGTCTGCGGTATGACGGAGTCGGGGGGACAATGGTCGCTTCCTGCAAACGATTCTCCCCCCCCCCCTCTCCGCGGATGATTCGCAATCGGCAGATCGTTTATTGTGTAGAAACCGTAGAAAGCACGCTTTATTCAGGCACAAGAAACGTTCCGAGCTGTCCAATTAGTGTTTTGCATTTACAACGCATTGCGCGTGTATATAACCGCGGTATAAATGCAAAGTAAGTTGCTTGGGCGAATTGCTGCGCGCAAGATTGAATCTCCCTTCGGTCGTTGCGGTTCGTTGAACGCGCAGCGCGAAAAATGCGCCGTAACGTTCCTTTTTCGCCTCCTTTTCGCTTTTGTTATTACAAAAATTTATTGTCCGCTTAAATCGGGTCCGAGCGCGCCCGATAATCGCGCTGTTTGCTTATTCAACGCTCCTCCGAAGTTGGAACGCGCGGAAAAACTTGTCATTCATGTCATAAAGAGCCGCGGCTTGGCTTCTTACGATGCGGTTTTGCGGAAATGAGATTTCACCGAAACGCACCAGTAAAACCGTGAAACGGGACATAATTTATTTTTATACAATTAGGACATCAAAAATATCTTTGGTGTTCGGACATTACGAAATATCTGACAAAGAGAAATTATTATCGAGTGAAGAATTTAAGTACGTTAAATAAGGACGCGCGGCCGAAGATACAAGATACGCCGGATTGAAGGGCTATTAATCCCAGGAAGCAAGCTGACGTTACTTGTCATTATTTTGACATCAAAATAACGTCTTTGACGACATTTTGACATGAAAATGACGATAAATAATGCTTGTTTCCCGGGATAATTCAAAGACATCACAGAGTCGTTATTTTCCTTGAAATATTTCTAACAAATTTCAGAATATCAGAGTTCCGAACACATTCACGGGCCGGCCCGAAATTGAAATGTCAATTTCAGTCCCTTGAAATACAAGCGATTGAACATTGGAGGATTCGTGCGAGAGAGGCATTTAGGATGATTGTCATTGAAATCATGTAGAAAAGTGTCGTCAGACTTGACCTACATTGTTCAACATTACGTGTTCGGCGTGCTGAAAACTTAACAAGATTATCATTGACTGCGCTTTACAGAAGCAAACCGTTCCCTAAATAATCCCAATAATGCTCGGCGATTTTAATTTTTTATCGTTCAGTTCGTATAGACATTCCTATCTTCGTTTCTTATATTTTTCAGCATCTTCTCTTTTTCCGTCTGACATAATTCGCAAAGCTATATTTTAACGATGCAATAAAAAAAAAAACGTGATATTTCAATCCCGTGCACATCCCGTGGAAAGATAAAAAAATCGCGAAAAGTAATTATTTGACGTGGATCTAAAACAGATTTTCAATTTACCGGTTTTAATTAAACAAGTTTAGCCGCGCGCGCGATCAATGTCGCGGCGTAACCGTAATGTCGATTCTTAATCGATTTTCGTTGAAACTCGTTGCTATTCATAACACCGTGTTCCATTAGTAATTCAATAGGGTTCCGATTAGTCTCATATTCCTACCTACGTATCAATGACAAAATAGAAACGATTATAATAAAATTGCTCTGAGTTTACTTGCGAAATTATGCGAAATGAAATTTTCAAGCAGCAACTGCAATACTACGAATATTTTTTCCCCCGCTAGCTTTGTTATCGTCGAAATATCAAAGTAGAATCGAGAAGAAGAGAGAGAGAAAGAGAGAGTGCCTCCCCTCGGTTAATAAAGGAGTATGGTTGGGTGGTTTTTAATCGAAAGCCCTTCGATCGAAACGAGAATCCCACATCTTTTGTTCCGACACAAAGCCTTTTTTTCACGGGACGGTGGTGCCCCCATAAAGGATTACATGACACGACCGAAGGAGAGTGAATCACCTTCGTCAGATTTTCACGCACGTTCGTCTTCTCACCTTGAAGAGCCGAGATGGTTTCTAATTCATTTTGCGTATAGAAATATATGGTAACTCGCAGAGAGTTTAATCGCCGCCGTATATATACGTTAATCGATTGCCGAATGAAAAATGGAGATTTCTCGCGGAAACAAATCGTCGTAGCAAAGTATCTTAATTGACATCTCAAATAAATTTTAATGAAAGCATTCCTTTTTTGAATTAAGTTATTTAAAAGGGGTTTATTTAAATATAAATAATAAAGGGGAATTTCACGCGGCTGTGAAACCTTGAATTCGTCGAATTCATCGAAACGGAGGGTCCCAAGGCTCCCTCGCGGTATCCCCGCATCGATATCGCAAACCTCTTCATAAATTTCCGCATAAATCGATTCCCGGCGAAATAAGAAGCACCATAAATCTCTCCGGGAAAGCTCGGTACCAGCCTGGACCGTAGTTTCGCGACACGAAACGGCAATATCGCGGGTATAGATTCGCGCCGCGCGCTAGGGGATACGCGCGACTTTCTAAAACCGCTCGATCCTGCCCCGGTGGATTTTCCGTCGTCGTGCATTAGCCCCGATGAAAAAAAAAATAAAAAAACAGAGTATCGCCGATAGGCAGAAGTTCAGAGGCCAGTGCCACCGGTGCGCACAGGTGTGTTTCGCGCCGGAGAAAGTCACGTTGGTGCCTGGCCGTTGGGTAATCCCGACCTGCCGCACACACGCCGGTCGTACCTGTCCATTTAGACACGATTGAATAACGTCGCGTAACAATTGCTTTTGCCATGCCGTCTCAGGTTCACCGATTGCACATCTGCATGGCGCCGACCCCCCTATCGGTGCAGCGGGCGCAAGGTGGAGAAAAGGGATTCTTGATTTCTACGTGTATACTTAAGTACTTTAACGTTGATTTTCTCAAGTCGATAACGAAAGAGTTATACGGCACTCGTACTGTTTATACATCTCTTTGTCAGAGGCTCCGCAGCAATTGCCTCGCAATTTTATCGGTGTGATAACTTTGACCTGATCTGAATAAACAGCTTCTATATAGCCGGTATAATGAGAGTTATACCGATAAGAGAGTCATTGTTCTAAATGATAGACGTAATTAAAATAGTTTCGTCGGTTTGTTTGAATCGTCGAAAAAGTAGAGACGAGAAAAGAGAAAATGGTGTGAGCCACTGGAACAAAAATAATTGTTCTCTTCTCTCGAAATTAATATACATATATTAAAAATAATATCAGATGATAGCAAGAGCTAAGGACGAAATAATAAATTTTATTCAACAATCATCTGTTATTATTATATACCAGCCTTGATCGCGCTGGTGTAGCTTCTATCTTATTTTTACTTTCATCGATATCATCATCGTTTTCTCTATAAACGAAGAGTTCCGCAGCGGAAGATCGAAGTGCATGCCATTACGACAGATTATTATCTTTGGGTCACTAGGACACTCGCGGCTATCTTCTTAATACTTTACCAGCTATTATAAGCGAGAGAAACCACTCGTTTTCTAGCGGCTAACAATATTACAGAGAGACGAACGAATGAGTTAAATAATTTCCGTATACGAGACTTTGCAGAATGTAGAACCCGCGGTGCCGAGGCGCCGCCCGTGCCAGATACGAAGAATTCGCGAGAAAAAAAAGGAAGGAAGAAGGCGGAAACAGTTTCGAAATTGGAATTCGCGAACCCGCGCTCATATCGTGCATTTTAGAGGCGAATGAAGGGAATCGTGTTAAATTTTGTAATAGACTTGAATCAAGTCTTAAGCACTTGCTGAAGTGAAAAACAGTGCGAAGTATCTATGAGGAGTGTGCGAGATAAGAGAATAAAGACGACATGTAATATCGAAATCGACGAAGAAGTTTGCGTGACCTATTATCGAAGCGTCAAGCAGCATCTCTGATAAAAAGAGAACCTTCGAAGATTATAATATCACAACAACATAGATAAAAACGAACAAAATAAAAAATTTTGTTCGTTTTTATCGATAACGAGAATTTGCGCAATTTGCCACAAATCTATGTAATTAAAATTATGTCACGCTCAAAATCGATGATCTGAATGCCAAAAACATGATGTGGATTCGCAGTAAAAATCTCACACGCACATAGCTTTATTCGGACAAAGCAATCTGTGCGTAATTTGTACACGGAATTTTTTTTTTAAATTTACCCTGAAAATCATGTTAATAAAATTTGTCGAAATACTATGTTGTCCCACGATTAACATGATGATGAGGGTAAATTATAAAAGGAAATTCTCTCCGTGTATAATAAAGAATAATCAAGAATAATTCAAAGCTTAAACATTCATCTTATCAAGATTAATTCCCGAAAGACTGACATTTTTTTTACATACATTACAATACATTACAGATGCATTTCTTTTACATAGAAGAAATATTTGCAGAACTCTCGGGTAATCTGTTTAAAATAATCAAATGATTAATGAGCCTGACGAAATTAAAATTCTAAAACACGCGTTTCAACGATTCGCTCGTGGAATTCTGATTGTTCAATTTCACCGAGCGCGAAACCTCGAAGTTTCCTGATTCGTGAAATATCGCATGTAATAACTTTCATTCGAAAGACAAGCCGTACGACACAGACGTATTGACGTTATTAATTTACTGGCGCTGACGTTAATGCTGGAAGAAAATAATTTTAACAATAAAAGTAATAAAAATAATATAAATTCTACTTCAGTTATTATTAAACATATATTATTATCCGTCGACAAGCTACGTTTTATTTATTATATTGAACATGTTATTT